TAAGCCAAAGCAGAGCAGTGCTTCTCGAACTTCAGAGTGCAGACAGACCTCCTGGAGATCCTGGATGAAGGTCTGGCTCTCCGGGGCTGGGGTGAGACCGAGTGTGCCTTTCCAACAAGCTCCGGGTGACACAGTATCATCGGTCCACAGACCACACTGTTAGAGTAACAGGCTCTAAGCAGTGGTTTTGAAACTTTGCTGCATCTGAGGACCCACCCGGGAGCTTTCAAAACCTTGCCTGGGCCACACCTCCTGCCAGCTAAACCAGAAAATCAGAATCCCTGGGGGTGGGCCCTCGGACCCCAAGTGATTCCGACGTGCGGCCAGGTGTGAGAACAAGAGGTGCAGCGCGGTGGCTCGCAAAGTGGAGATGGAATCAGGATCACTTGGAGGGCTTGTTAAACCCCAGGGTGCTGGGCCCCGTGCTCAGTTTCCCGTTCGGTAGGCCTGGGGTGGGGCCCAGGAATTTCATTTCTAACACATTTCCAGGTGATGCTGATGCTGCTGGTCCAGGGGCCACACATGGCACTAATGGTCAGAGGATTTATCTATCAGGAATGTATCCATTTCGAGGCCAATAATTTCCCTTTGCTCCCCTCTGATGTCAGCAATCTCTTTTCTGGGTGATGGAGCTTCTGCGAGATAAAATCTATGTACCAGGGCTTTCCTCTGATGTAGCACAAACACAGGTTTGGGGTGTCTGGGAAAGGCCACTGAGGCGTGAGTCCACCGGTCTGCAGGCTCCGACAGTGTCTGCTTACCTCTTACAGAAAGCTGGATGAAATCTGGGTAGAGCAATTAGAGAACCGTCCAGAGTCAAGCTGTCTCAATTCTACAGTGACTAGGGGCGCCTGGGTGGCCTGGTTGGTCGAGCGCCCAACTTTGGTTCAGGTTCGTGAGTTCAAGCCCTGAGTTGGGCTCGCTGCTGTCAGCGCGGCGCCTGCTTCAAGAATCTCTGTCTCCCTCCCTCTCTGCTCTTACCCTGCTTACGCACACTCAAAAATAAACACTTAAAAAAATAAAAATAAAACAAAAGCTTAGCATGGCTTTCTCAAGGAAATGCAGAGAAGCCTGGAATGAAGACGCTGTCTGTCTGCCTCCTTCATGGACTGAGCAGAGTTTCTCCACAGCTGCAGGTGGGCAGGGAGGATTCACTTATTCACGCCAATAACACTTCCTGAGTTCCCACCGGGAGGGGGGCACTGTGCGCATGGCTGCGAGAGAAGAAAGGAAAGGAGGAAGGAAGGAAGGGAGGGCGTGTAGGAGGGAGGGAGGGAAAGAGGTTCCATGCCTCCTGGGATTTTACAGGTTCCTAGAAGAGCTAAGTCAACCCTTCACGTAACTAGAAAACAACATGGAACATCATCAAAAGCTAAAGAACACGGAGACTCCAAACGCCCTGGGGGAGATGGCTTCTGGAAGAGATGATCGGAGATGCTCTTGGGCGGCTGGACCCTCTAGGGACAGGGAGGAGGGACCGGAATCAAGGACGGCTTTATGGAGGGCATCTCCAAGGGTCTGCACTCAAAGGACTCCTGGGCTTTTCTCACACAGGGATGGGACAAAGCCATTCTGACTCAAAATTCAGAAGCACAGACGAATGCTAGAGAGCCCCAGCGACGTTCAAGCAACAGCAAGATCTGGTGCGAATGGCGCAAGGGCAGCCGCAGGGCTGGTGACACAGGGCCCTGGCTCCGGGCCGAAGAAGGAGGTCCTGCTGGATTTGAGACAGTGGGGACCTCACGGAGAGTTTCAAGCAGGAGAGCGTCGGCTCACATGAGCGGGAGCGAAGCAGGTGCACAGACAGGGAAGGGGCGGTGCCTGCTACATAGGTGTTCCGGTGCGAAACCCCAAGAGCCTGGCTCAGGGCCACGAATGGGGACCAAAATGTCCTTGGGAAACACTCACAAGGAGACATGAGCGTTAGCACTTCAACTATTCACACAGATCCCGTCTTCACTGGACTTACAAGAACCTTTAAATGTGAGTACCTAGGGGCGCCTGGGTGGCTCAGTCAGTTGAGCATCCAACTTCAGCTCAGGTCATGATCTCAGGTTTCTGGGTTCGAGCCCCACGTCGGGCTCTGTGCTGGAGCCTGTTTCAGATTCTGTATCTCTCTCTCTCTCTCTCTGACCCTCCCCTGCTCATGCTGTCTCTGTCTCTCTCTCAGAAATAAATAAAACAAACAAAAAAAAATGTGAGTACCTAGACGTGCCTGGTAGTGAAATATTAAATAACCGCTGTCTAACCAGGCCTTGAAATGGGGAAACGTGTCTAAAGGTCCCCAGCTGCACACACAGAATGGAGGTCAAGTGGTCTTATGGTGAACAAACGAGAAGGGATGGAGATACCACGGATGTTCCCGAGTAATCACGGGGAAGGTCGGGAGACTTTGTTAAATGAATGGAGACCAGAAAAGCCGACCTCAAGGGCAGAAGACAGAGGACTGAAGAGCTCACCTTGGATGTTCTGGGGGCCATAAAAGGCACAAAGCCCCCACAGCAAGTGGGGACGGTGGGGAAGGCCCATAGCAGAGGGTGCCTGTAACCACCTCAGACACCTGCCGAGACCTGACCCTCTGCGTTGTGACTTCCCCAACTAAACAATCCAGAAGTCACTCCTCAGCCCTCAACCCCTCTGGCCTCTCCATAGCATTGGACTGAAGATCCTGAAGTTCATTACAAGCTTGTCACATCCATCAGGAGGCAAGTAAATTAAGTTTTTAGGATGCGATGAGAGATTTTTGTTTTTGTTTTTGCTTTTTTAAAAACGAAGAGTAAAATTAAAAATTATTTTTCAGGGCCAAAGAAAAATCAAGTACTTTGCTTCAAATGAAATCTACCAAATACTCAGGTATTCACTTTCGAATGCCCCCTCTCTGTAAAGCAAGGTCTCATATTATTCTTCCTTTCTGGTTTTTTATTCTAATAAACTTCGACTGCTGGTCAAAAAACAAAAACAAAATCAAAACAAAACACTATGAAACACACACGGAAGCAAACCGACTGGAGTTTGAATCCTGGCCCCACCACTTAGCAGCTGTGTGTGATGCTGAGTGCGGCCTTGACCTTGCCGAACTTCCATTTCCTCATCTGTAAAATGACAGCCTTACCCACCTCCCAGGTTTGCCAGTGAGATGGCCACGTAAGGTGCCCAGGGCAGGGCTGGGCTCACAGGAGGCCCTCAACATCAGCCCCTTTCTCCAAAAGACAGCTTTACTGAGACTCCCAAGTCCCTGGGCACTGCTGAAACCTCCACTCCCAAACCTCCTTCCTTTCCTTCTCTTCTCTTCCAGTCTTCTGAATCCTCCAGACTAGATGCCTCCGCATCGGCCACCTTTGTCTTAAGTCCTCGCCTTTCTAAGTTCTTGCCATTTCATTAGCCCTCTTTCCAACCCCCCACTGAGAACTACCGCTTTGCACCAGAGATGTGATGAAATGTTTAAGAACATGGACCATGCCGGGGCGCCTGGGTGGCTTAGTCGGTTAAGCGTCCGACTTTCACTTAGGTCATGATCTCGCGGTTCGTGGGTTCGAGCCCCGCGTCGGGCTCTGTGCTGACTGCCAGCTAGGAGCCTGGAGCCTGTTTCAGTCTATGACTCCCTCTCTCTCTGACCCTCCCCTGCTCACGCTGTCTCTCTCTCTCTCTCCTAGAAATAAATAAAAAATTAAAAAAAAAAAAAAACCTATTAAAGAACATGGACCATGCCTTCAGACCCGTGAGTTCGAATCCTGGTTCAGCCTTGTACTCACTGCATGATCTTCAGGGAGTCACTTAACTTCTCTGGTGGTAACAATCTCGCTTATGTCCCAAGATGCTGAAGGGTCTCTGAGTTTTGCACAGCACAGTGCCTGGACCAGAATGGACTCCGTGAGCGCCAACTCGTGTTACTATCAGTTCATCTTAGGTGTGTCCAGCCTCCTCCCCTTCTCCAGCTGTGGCCACCGCAGCCCAACCAACGCCTGGGTGGCCACTTCCTGGCTGTTCTCCTGTCGCTAGCCTCTCCCTACTCGAATCAAACCTACATCCTGTTGCCAAACCCCACTTCCTCCCATGCCCCTTGGGCTCTAGTTCAAGAACCTGCTGAGGCCAATGACATCCACTCCAAGCCCACCCTTCCCCCACGCTCCACGTCTTACCACTCCCTAAAAATGCACTTTCCACTCCAACCAGCGGGCTTCCCTGACGGTCACATGAGCCAGCGGGCTTCGTGCCACCCCTCCCTGCCGCCCTGCACCTTCTCCAAATTCCACTCCAGTCTACGACCTGCTCCAGTCCCACATCCCTCCCGACCTCTCCCGTCTTCTTTCTCTAAACTTCTACGCTTCTCGTCAGCGCAAAGGCAGCCACGATCCACGGGTCCTGAACAGCCTAAAGGAAACACCTGGTAAGCAGGGGAGCCCAGAACGGAGACGGAGTAGTGAAGTGGCACGTCTCCTCCATCCCAGACGGTATCGCTAACACAGGAGACAAGTGCTTGACCCGTCGCAAAGAGCCCAGGATGACGTTAGACCACAGACGGGTCCTAGGTGTTAGCTGGCTTACTCGTCACTGACCTTGTTTTCATAAAAAGAATCACTCTTTAAAGATAAGGTTATCAGGTTTTTCTAATTGCTGGAACTTCAAATATTTGAATGTTTATTGCACAACCAAAGGAAGGTGCCAAGGGGTGGTTTACTCGGTCTTCAGCCGCCCCTCCTCCCTCACCCCTCCATCAGCCTCCCGCCCTCTCCAAATAAGCACAGGCATAAACACTGCGCTTACTACGCCGACAGAGCCCCAAGCGTGGTCCCGTAAGCCTGTCCCATACTGAAACTCTGGAACTGCCACTGCACACAACAAAGGCGTTAAACAGGGTGACGGTGTCCTGGCTGCCTCCAGACAGAGCAAGAGGAGGGGCTACATGGGGCTCCGTCCTGGATCCCACATTCTCCTCTGCCACAAACACCTCCACGTTGGAGGCGGGTGCCCACCCTCTCCCTGTGAGGTCCGCGTCTTACCACCGCCCCGAAGGGTCTGGGTCAGGTCTTCCACCAGGGCCACGGCCTCCTCGCTGCTCTCGGGCCGGTGCTCTTGCAGCCAGGCCTGGATTTCTCTTGGGAGCACCGTCAGCATCTGTTCCTTGGTGTGCACCTCTGGCCTCAGCCAGCGCCGGCAGAGCTCCCGAAGGCGGCCAAGCGCACCCTGAGGTGCTCCAGCAGCCTCCCCGGGGGGGCTGCCCTTGCCAGCGCTCTGGGGGAGGGGCTGGGACTCAGGGCCATCCTCCTGAAGTACAGCTTCCTGTACCCAAGAGTCATCCTCCAGGATCATGGTGGTGACCTCCTCCTGTTCATCTTCCTCTTGAGGCCCCTGGACCAAGGGGCTCGGGGGAGCGGTTCCTCTTGGCCCCTCTGCAGCCATCACCCACCTTCCCAGGGCAATCACGCAGGCTTCTAGCCTTGAACTTGAGTCTTCTAGAGCCAGGCTCGCTGAGAAGACAACTCCCTCTTCAAATTTCAACAAGCGGTGGGGCTGAGAAATGAGAAAAGAGAACCACAGTCATTAAGTAGACTGTCCTACAGGGATCTAACTCCCAGCAGCCCAGGCCAGGCCACCAAGTGAGTCTTGCGTCTGCAAATTAACAGAAGTCTCCTGCCTCTCTTAAAGGAAAAGAACGGCTTATTCCTGAAAACCTTTCTATGGCAAAAGAAGAATCACAAGCACAAAAAATACAGCACTTTTCTTTCTAAAAGCATGAGCATCAGAAATTCAAAGCCCTCCTGAGAACCCAGGACTGAGTTATTCTGCCCTGACTCAGTTCAGACTTGCTGCGGAGTGACCCTGACCTAACATACAACTTAGTCACTTCACTTCAGTGACCATCCTCCTTACGGGGACATCTTCAGGATTGGCAATGGAGCAGATGTCAAGACGCTTTGAGCTTTGCTGCGAGGAAGGTAATACCTGAACTGCATTATTACCATAGACTTATGAAGTTTTAACATGTACGCTGTCTTCAATGCAGACTCGGCCCCCTTGGGAATTCATCTTTAAAAACAACCATCTTCGTAAAGAAAATTTATTTGCAAGGAAACAAAACCCTATTATATATGATTGTTTCTAATTGTAAAACAAACCCGACTTTTAAAAAATCCAGCAGCAGAGGAATGGCTAGGGTGTATGGCACATCCACACAGTAAGATATATTTATTTTATGCTGATTTTTTTTAAAAAACTATGCTGATTTAATAATGACTACTGACTGAGAAGGGGCTCAAAAAAGCCTTTGGGGTGCTGGAAACGTTCTATATCTTGATTTGATGATGGCTGCACAAAGCATACATATGAAATTTCAGATTTGTGCATTCTGCTGTAGTTTTAAGTATTTTAAGAATTATGCTGACAGATTATTATTAACCATTAATAATCGGAGATAATCTTCATAAATATGAAACTTACGGATAAAAACACACCTAGCAAAACAGAAACACTAGACAAAGTATGACCCTAAATCCACTTAAAAATGAACACGTACACAAGGCAACAACAAAACAACAACAACAAAAAACTTGGGGCATTAATTACACAAGACGTTGGGACCAGTGAAATTACGACTATAAAAGCAATGGAAATTTACTCTTTAAAAATCATTATTACATGGTGAAGACTCAGGTAACAACTCCTCCTCCCCCCCCCCACACACACACACACAAAATAAAGGAAAAAGGGGGGAAACTGGGAAGGAAAAAGAAAAAGAAGAAAGCTAGTGGGAATAGTGAAGCTTTCAAGGTGTTATTTACCAAAGGGCCAGAAGAGGCACAGGTATAGCAGAAGTCCTGCATGGGAGCCCTGGAAAACTGCACCCGGTGAGCTCATTCGGGGCTGACCCGGGGCAAGACACGCCCCCTCGGAAGCTCAGTTTCCCCATCCGTAAAGCCCGGAGCCGCGCGGGATGCCGTCCAGCGTGCCTTCCAGTCCCCATCCCGCGCCCCTGGCTGGACGTGCACGGAGCTCACCGCCCGGGAGCAGAGTTCGGGGGCGTCCACCGAGCGGACCCGGCGCGTCCCACCCGCGGACCCCGACCCGCAGTCGCGGACAGCGCCCCCGACGCCCCTCCCCCAGCAGGACTGCCCGCACTGGCTCCAGGCCCGTTATTCCCTCTCCGCGGGCTACTCCCCCGGCCAGCACCGCTCCCGGCCCTTCTCGCCGGGCTCACCTCTCGGGAGACCAGGTCGGGCTTCCGCGGCCACTCCGCACGCAAAAGCGCCCCCGGGCACGACACGGCCCCTCCAGATCCTCCGCGGCTCAAGCCCGAGGGGCACCGAGAACAATGGACGGGAGAGGCCCGCCCCCCGCCGCGCTTATTGGCCGCCGAGAACGGCCCCTGGAAACCCTGCTCTCCTACTGGCTCTCCTGAGGCGGCCGGGGAGGGAGGCTGGGCCGAGCGCATTGTGGGAGTTGTAGTCCCCCGCGGCGGCCCGGCCCGCGGGGCTGGGAGCTCAGCCCCCAGCCGACGGCCCGGCAGTACCGCAGGCAAATCCGGGGACCGGCCCTCAGGACCCCAGGGTTGGCCAGAGCTGTGACCTGGTACAGGTCATTTCACTTCCTTGTACTCGCCTATCAGAAATGAAACTTGTGTGGAGGGGACTGCGTGGCAAGGCGTGTTTTAGGCGCCCCCGAAGGCTGTGCCCGGAGCAGGCAGGAGTCCCGGGAGAAGCACCCCCCACCCCGCGGCTGCCCCCGCCCGGCGCCCCCTCCCCCAGCCTGCGGGTCCACGGTCGCACCTGGCCTCGCCACACCCCTTTGTTTTCGCACGTGCCGTTCCTGCGGCTGGACGCAAGTCCCCGCCTCTCCGGTCACGGAAGAAGTCCCTTCTGTCGCCCACCTGGTCGTCTCGGAGCCTGGCCCGTCATGGCCTCCCCGGGCGCGGGCGCCGCCCCCCGCGCTGCGGGCCCACCGATCGGGGGCCGTCACCCAGCCGAGCCTTGCTCGCCGTGGGTCTCGGCACTGGGAGGTGAGCCTGGGAGCTCGGCCCCTGTCCCTCGCACAGTTGACGCCCTCGAAGGAAGGACCGCCCCAAGGCCGCATGCCAGCAGGTGAGAAACGTTCTGGAAACCCAAACGCGCTCTCCGTGGTCTGCGATAGGATGGCTGTGAGTGCTTGTGTTGTGCGGAGCAGCCACTGGAGGCACACAAGCAGATGAATACATTTGTTGCTTTAATTTTTTTATTTATATTTCATTTCATCGTCGCGAAAATTTCATGAGTATTTGAGAGATGTTTTATGTTTATTTGGATAATTTTAATCTCCTTTTCTGTGAACTGGGATACCAGTGAATATCTTCCCATGTTTTTTGTTTTTGTTTGTTTGTTTGTTTGATCCAACAGTTAACATACAGTGTTCTATGTTTCAGGTGTACAATATATGGCTTCAACAATTCCATACATTACTCAGTGCTCATTATGACAAAGCACACCCTTTTTCTTAAAATAATTTTCTAAGCTTATTTATTTTGAGACAGAGAGAGAACAGGGGAAGGGCAGAGAGGGTGGGCAGAGAATCCCAGACAGGCTCCATGCTGTCAGCTCACAGCCCAACTCCAGGCTTGAACTCGCTTGAACTCACCAGCCGTGAGATCATGACCTGAGTCAAAATCAGGAGCCGGACGCTTAACCAGGGCGCCCCACAGCAAGTGCACTCTTAATCCCCATCGCCTATCTCTCCACCTCCTCTCTGGTGACCATCTGTTCTTTCTGGTTAGTAGTCTGTTTCTTGGTGTGTCTCTCTTTTTTCCTTTGTTCGTTGGTTTCTTAAATTCCACAAATGAGTGAGACCATATGGTATTTGTCTTTGACGGACTTATTTCTCTTAGCATTAAACCCTCCAGATCCATCCATGTCTTTGCAAATGGCAAGCTCTTTCTTTTTCTTCTTCCTAAGCTTTGGTCCAATTTTTTGTAAGAGTTCTTAGTTTATTTATTAGTTTGTCACAGAAGTTGCTATTTTTCTCAGTTTTTTTGGGGGGGGGCTGTTTATTTTAGCATAGAAATTTTTATGCTGTCCACCTTGTCTTTTATAGCTCCTGAGTTTTGAGTCATTCTTAGAAAGTTCTCTGTACCACTCCCAGGATTATTGGAGTTTCACACTGTTTTTCACTAATCCCTTTAAGTAGTGCAAGTATGAAGATGCAGGGGCGCCTGGGTGGCTCAGTCGGTTGAGCATCTGACTTCGGCTCAGGTCATGATCTCAGGTTTCCTGGGTTTGAGCCCTGCATCAGCCTCCGTGCTGACAGCTCAGAGCCTGGAGCCTGTTTCAGATTCTGTGTATCCCTCTCTCTACCCCTCCCCATGCTCTCATTCTCTCTCAAAAATGAATAAAGGTTTTAAAAAAAAGATGCAAAGTAAGGTTCAGCTACTGACTGCAACATGACCACATGCAAATAGCGCCACCTCCAGGCGGGCTTGAGAAGTTTGCACCACGTGCCTGGAGGCCGAACTCCCAGCCTCCCCTCTAGGGGTCGGCATTCGGGAGAGCCAGCTACGCAAAATAATTGAGGATGATCTCTTATGACAAAGATTTGTTTCTCCCCACTAGGGATGGGAATTTACACGAAAGGGAAAATCAGTTGGGGGGGGGGGCGGGGAGCGGTGCACTGCTGAAGATTTCCAACAGCCTAAGAGCCTGTCTGGCCCTGCTCCTATCCCAGGCCAACCCTGCACCACAGGAAACTGGCACCATCTTGTCACAGGAGACTCCAGGAGCCCACCGTCTCTTCCCTGTGCCTGCTTCTCCAGGCGCTTGGTCCTAGCCAGTGTCAACGGTCCTGGGTTTAGATAGAAAGCAGCTCCCATTTAAGACCACTTTATGGCACACTGGGCCTGGTGCCCAAGCCAGAGCCCCAAGGGCATCCTGGGACAGCGAGCAAGCCTAGAAACACGGCCCTGTTCCGTGAGTAGGGTCGCCCCTCCCGGTGAATCTCTGCTCCATCACCCAAACCACAGGGGTCACAGACGCTCGGTTCTGCCAGCGGCCATTCCTGGTTAAAAGCCTCAGAGAACTCCTCCGGCTAAGTTAAGTCAAAGGGACTTAGGGGAAGAGTAGTGGGGAATCACAGAGTACATGGGAGCTAAAGAATCAGGCTGGGACCCAAGACACAGGCTAAGTAAGGCCCCAAGAACTACAGCAACAATCCCTTTTTTTTTTTTTTACAAGTAGTTTATTGTCACGTTGGTTTCCATAGAACACCCAGTGCTCATCCCCACAAGTGCCCTCCTCCATGCCCATCCCCCCCTCCCCCCCCCACATCCATCAGTCCTCAGTTTATTCTCAGCACTCAAGAGTCTCCATGGTTTGCTTCCCTCCCTCTCCCCACCATTTCCCCCCTTCTTCTCCCCCATGGTCCTCCGTTAAGTTCCTCCTAATCCTCCTATACGTGCAAACATATGGTATCTGTCCTTCTCTGCCTGACTTATTTCGCTCAGCATAACACCCTCAAGGTCCATCCATGTTGCTGCACGTGGCCAGATTTCATTCTTTCTCACTGCCATGTAGTATTCCATTGTATAGATAAACCACATCTTGATCCATTCGTCCGTTGATGGACACATAGGCTCTTTCCATGTTTTACAGCAACAATCTGTTAGCAGAAGCCAGGGTGCCCTCCCCACGAGCCCTGGCCATCCTGCAGCCGGCTCTGTTAGCCCGCCTTCCTTCCAGGTTCGGAGACCAGCGGAAGCGCTTGGGGTTGGCTGAGTCTGTCACTGCCCACGTCCCCCAACCCCCCATGCCCTACTCACCACAGAACCCACGAGGATGACAGGGAATTAGCTCCAGCTCCTCGTTTTCCTTATTAGGAAAGGGGGTTAATAAACCCCACGCAAAGGCAGGTTCTCCCCTCCAGAGATGGAAGGCCCATTAGGGAAAAGGGAACAGGCAGAAATTACACGTGTCACCACTTATTTTTAGATGCCGAGCCAGAGATTGCCGGGCCTAAGGCTTGGGGGATGGGGGGAGGGCTGCTCCCTGGTCAGCTAGAAGTGGTGAAATGGTGAGGGTGGGGTGGCCGGAACTTGATTTCCATAACACTTGCTTGCTTGCAGGGCCACTGACCTCTGAGCTGCTCAGGCATTGAGGATGAGGGGCCTTTGGGCCCTGAGGATGCAGGACATCTCTCCCCCTGCCTAAGGCCTCCACCACTGCTTAATCTCCTGTTTCCTCCAAGGGTAGGAAGGGGGTCTCTTCATTTGTGTGAAGACCGTGTGTCTCATTTTTGCTGGGTCTGCCAGAACCAGCACCGCTGTGTGTGGCTGGGAAAACATCATTAAGTGAACAGTGTTGTAGGATGCTGTAAGACTGGCTTAAAAAGAGAAAAAGTCTAAAGGGAGGCACAGAGTAAGAATGCCCAGGGAGAAAGAGAAATTAGGGAGTGATCAGGGAAGCATTGATTTGATTTTTAAATGTGTATTTATTTATTTTTGAGCGAGAAAGAGAATTCCAAGCAGGCTCTGCGCTGTCAGCAACACGGGGCTCAAACTTATGAACCGTGAGATCTTGACTTGAACTGAAACCAAGAGTCAGATACTTAACTGACTGAGCCACCCAGGTGCACGCACCACCCCCCACCTTTTTAAAATTTATTTTTTTGGGGGGGAGGGGGGATGGGCATGGAGGAGGACACTTGTGGGGATGAGCACTGAGTGTTATGTGGAAACTAATTTGACAATAAACTATTTGTAAAAATAAATAAATAAATAAATAAAATTTATTTTTTAAATTTTTTAAAATTATTTTTTCAATGTGTATTTATTTTTGAGAGAGAGTGAATGTGAGCAAGGGCGAGGGAGGAGCAGAGAGAGAGGAAGACACAGAATTTGATGCAGGCTGACAGCTCTGAGCTGTCCGCACAGAGCCTGACACGGGGCTCAAACTCAGAACTGTGACATCATGACCCAAGCCGAAGTTGGATACTTAACAACTGAGCCACCCAGGCGCCCCGCCCCCACCCCTTTTTTATTTCTATTATTATTTTTTAATGTTTTATTTATTTTTGAGAGAGAGAGAGACAGCATGAGCAGGGGAGGGGCAGAGAGAGAGAGAGAGGGAGATACGGAATCTGAAACGGGCTCCAGGCTCTGAGCTAGCTGTCAGCACAGAGCCTGGTGCGGGGCTTGAACCTATGAACCGTGAGATCATGACCTGAGCCGAAGTCGGATGTTTAAAGGACTGAGTCCCCAGGCGTCCCCCACCCCTTTTTTAAATGAATGGTTTGTAGTTAGTGTGACAGAAAGGAGGCCCTTTGTTCCTTGTCTTTCTCTTCCTGTGATGCTGCGCTCTCTCTCTCTCTCTCTCTCTCTCTCTCTCTCTCTCAGTTGTCCTATGTTGATCTGGGCTTCTCTAGCCCCTTTGCACCAAGAAGGAAGAGAATGGCTTTAGAGCCTCTGGCCAGTTCCCATGCCCTATTCTGAACTGCTCTAGCCAAGGACGTTTCTCAGAAGACACACGGGTGCTCTGGGCTGGACAGAGTGACTCAGGAGGCGGCCTCGTGGGGACCGGTGCTTGCCAAACATAGAGGCAGGAGTGCGGCCACGAATGCTTCGACCTAGAGCATGCTTCACAGGGGATTTAGCCCTATGATCATCAGTGTTCCCTCGCGTTATTATAAGTAAAGACTAATTATAAAGACAGGAAGAAAAAGGGCACCTGGGTGGCTCAGTTGGTTAAGCATCCAACTGGGGCTCAGGCCATGATATCTCATGTTAGTGAGTT